ATCCGTCGGAATTAGTTACATTAATTTATCTGACGCTCGGGAAAAGTAAACGGCAATAGATTTAATGCCCAATATCCGACGGAATTTCCGACGACCATATTTGTCGGAAATTGGACTTTAAATCTCGCGCATCTCGTAAATGTAGAGGGAATGTTAATTGGTTTGAAATTCCCGCTGCATTGTTTCCGACGAATTTCCGACAAATATGGTCGTCGGAAATTGTTATATATATACGACTCATAGATTTTCACCTCTTACACACTTCTCACTCTATAAAAACTATAAAATCTCTCTACAAATTTCTTATCTCTCTCTGTGAGAAACAAACGTTAAGGTAAGATGTTTAGTTTTATTTTCTTCATAATTTTGTTTATAAAATTCAAAAGACTAATTATATATTTTTTATTTGATTAAGGAGATGGAAAATGGATCGTGGAGTGGATATTTGGCGTATTGTAATGAACGTGGGTTTGCTCCGGATTTGAATCTTGGTTCCGATACCCAACCACCGAATGATTTTCCCATGGAGGACACGGAAGTTCCGGAGACGGAACCATCGGCGATGCCTACACGGAATGATGATGCAAATCCACTCGATTCTATGACGCTCGACCAATTACTCCGTGTTCCGGGTCGAGATAAATTGAAAAAGATCGACCCAAGCCGTATGAACGGAACATCTTGGTAAGAAATTGTATTATTTAATTTATAGTTTTACGTAGATAATCTCAATTAAATAATTTGGTATTTATAGGTATGGATTCGATAAAGGATTCACAAAGATTATCAAGAAAATCATGGAGAGCGATTTCCCCGATCCTGCTTCGAATTTTACGTCGGTCTCCGGAGACACAAAGAAACGTTGGTTTAAGGTATTTGCGGTTAGTTTATTAAAATAAAATATATGCTTTATTTAGTTTGTTTATAATTTTAGCTAAAAAAATTAAATTTTAAAATTTTACAACACTAAAAATATATTTTTTAATTTTTTTAACATTGTAGCAAAAATTTTATTGGGATTATGGTCTTACGGCCGAAGTACAAGAAATATTTGAGGAGATATGTGGGAGTCGTTTATTGGATTATGTTTATGAATGGAAAAAGAAATGGCTTAACGAGAAAGAAAAGCCAAAATAGATGCGAGAAAACGTTTGGCAAGGGCTTATTGCATATTGGTTACAAGAGCATAATAAATCCCGTAGTGAAACTAATTCTCAAAATCGCAAGAGTGAACGCGGAGGCTATGGCATGGCTAAACATACTTGTGGATCAATGCCATATGTCCGGAAAAAGGAAAAAATGGTAAATAAAAATTTAAATTTTTTACATTTCAATTGGCATCATAATAAATTTTATTGTAAATTTTTAACTAATAAATATTTTAAATGCAAGCGTAATCCCGAAACCGGTGAGTTTCCCGATATGGTGACATTCATGGAGGAGACTCACAAACGGAAATCGGACGGGACATTTGTTGATAAAAAAGCTGAGGCAATAGCTCGTCGATGTCGGGAGATGGAGAAAGAGAAACTCACACAATTGAGTCAACATGAGGACACGCCTGATGATTATCAACTCACCCAAGCAGAAAAAAACGATATTTTCCGATCGGTAAGTAATAGTAATTAAAATATTATAATTTAGATAATATGTTTTATTTCCTAACAACATTTTCATTATAATAGCAAGTTGAAGTTAAAAAAGGACGTAGATTTGGATTTGGTTCCATTCCGTTTGACGAAGACATGGGCGGAAGTTCGTCATATTCACATGCACACGTGAATTGTCAAGAAAACGCAGCCGAAATGAAAGAGTTGAAGATTCAATTAAAAGATTGTAAGTTTTGGATGGATATGATGGCCCGTCTTCATCCCGACCTCGTTCCGCCTTCTCGCCAAGATCAACCCGGAAATGAAAATGAAACAAACAACGTTGACAATCTATTTGATAATATATAATATTCGTGTTTGTAATAATTTTTAGTTGTTTAAGAACTTATTAATGTTTAATTATGTTTTTTATATTATGTGGTGAATTTTATTTTATTTAATCATGTTTATTTATGTTTTTATATAATATTTGTGTTTGTTTTATTGAATTATTACAATTAAATTAAATTAATATTATTTAATTTAATTAATTATATTAATTAACAATAAAATATAAATATTTTTAATAAAATATAATATTTCGTCGGAAATTCATCGGAAAATAATAAAAAATACGATTTGTCGGAAATTCGTCGGAAACTATTAAATATATTATTATATTATGTCGGAAATTTGTCGGAACGTTCCGACGAACTTCCGACGATTTTGGTCGGAAAATCTTCGGAATCGTACTCGATCTTGCGGCGTCGTTTCTAGGAATCTCCTCGGAATGGCGTCGGAATATGCCGTCGGGATATCGTCGGAAATTTTCCGTCGCTATTCCGACGGACATTTCCGACACCTTTCCGACGGGCTTTCGACGAACATTTCCGACGATTTTCCAACAAATATTTCCGACGAATTTTCCGACAACTCATCTCGACAGAAATTTCTGACGAATTTCCGACGAATATTGTTTTCCGACCAGAAAATTCCGACAAACTGGGTGTAAATGGACGTTTCCGACGAATTTCCGACTATTTGGTTTGTCGGAATTTACTAATGGCCTAGGGTCCTAAATTTTATGGGTTCACTTTTATCAAAATCTAATACACTTATACACATAATCAATGGTTGGTCCATGGATAAATGGATAAGCAATAGTTTAGGGTCCTAAATCTTATGGGTTCACTCCTATTAGAAACTAATACACACAATCAATTACTGGTCCAACGATAAGCAATGGCTTAGGATCCTAAATATTATGGCTATAATATTTTAATTGTCGCCTATAGTAATAATTTTAAGTATTTTAAATTTTTTTTTTTTTTTTGTCAACATTTGGGCTACAACTGGCCGGCCCATTAGCCTAATTTCTACAATTAAATTGTAGAGTCGGGAACTCGATCCCTGGTGTGATGGTGTCTGTCTTCTGTGGACTTATCATTTGCCACTAGACCAAGATCACTTCACGTATTTTAAAATATTGTAATCTCATAAATTATATTTTTTATATCAAATTTTATATAATAAAAACGAATTCTTCAATATTTAATTTAACATGTATCTGATTAGAATTTTGATACGTACCAAATTCTCGTGAAAAGTTCAAACTTTATAAAATAAAAAATTGAGTTCTTTAATACTTAATTTAACTAAATTAAAACTGTTGCCATCCCTAAATTAAAAGTTGTTGACATTCTTTCTTTTGCACCAGTTAGAGTTTGACCTTTTCACGTTTCGAATAATAAATAAGAGGAGCACAATTTCTAATCACGATTAAGGGCTTTGACAACATCGGAATGGCCTGTATAATGCTTACAAAACGATAGCATATATGTTTTCATAATGCCTTTCCAAATATGTGGTCTTCTCGATCGTAATTACTTTTATAAATAAGAATCTAAAAGAACTCAATGACGATGATAACACCATATTGTATATAGATGTATCTGGATATTTGAACTTATGAAGTCTAATTAAGAATCTAAAAGAACTCAATGAAGTAACAAGTCGATATTCGATAGTATTAGTAGCTCACTCACAAGAAATTTGAAACGTTATACCAAATCGAACGACATCCAAAGTTGCATGATCTTTCGCTTGTAGCCATCGAGTTGATTCAAGTAGTAAAAGGTGGTGGAGAAGTGAATCTTTCGGGTAGGTTGCTTGAAAGAAAATGACAGTGTTGGTTATTTTTTGGAAATAATTAATGTATGTCATGTGGGATCAACTTGGTGTACCATTAATATCATATGAGAACATTTATGATTCACGAAAGAAGTTTAACTAATCTCTCACTTTCTTCACTTGAACTACATGAACCAATACTAAAAACGGACAAGAAATTTTGCTAATCTAAATAGTGACATTTTCATTTATTCTTGTATGCTGATAAATCTTGAAACTAAAAATCATTTTCTCTTCAACCAAATAGTTATAGTTAGTTAAAAAATTTTTTTAATAATATATAACTAAGTCCGGGTTCTTAAATAAAATAGACTTTGTAGGCTGTAGGTACGTCAAGTTTTTAGATCGAAGTCAGACTTTTGAAATATTGAAATATTGCAAGCTTTTCTAAGCAATACACATTGAATTTATTTATTAGCAAAAAAGTCAATAGAACAAGGAAAATTCGATTTCGTGAAAAGTCTTACGGTTTTGTTTCTAGTTGTACGGTAACGTATAGTTTAGTTATTAAATATAAGCCACCAATATTGACTACTATGTACCCAACTTCTATTCAACTACAATAAATGATCGAATATAGTATATACAGTTGGTGTGAGTCTGAATCTCTCAGATATTGTCTCAATTTTCGGACCGATTTATATTTGCGTATAAAGGTGTCATGTTCTTAATTTCTTATTCTAATTTGAACATGGTGGAAATTTTTTCCTCATTTTCTGCATCTAGATACTCCAGTCTTCGGTTCCTGGACTTTACCGATGTCAAATTAGTCTACTATTTTTACAGATGTTAAAGATTTGGACTCTAACTTATATATCAGATAAATAATACAATAACGAAATAACCGAATAATTATTAGAAACCCAAATTTTCTTTATAAATTGATTAAAAAGGCTAAAAACTATTTTTACTAGATTAAATAAGTTGTTTTTTTTTAATATGCTAGTAATATATAGCGGAATCACTTTTTTTTTAAAACCGTAAAAACATAAAAGCATTAAAATTTGATAAATATTCTGAATGATAAAAAATTAGTGAAATCATGTTTTTTTAAAAAGAAAAACTTAAAAAAAAACGTGACCCAGTGTTTCAATCCCTTGGGAACCTAAGAAAATCGTATATGCAGAGTTATTACTCCCTCTTTTCCTAATAAATTGATGCTTTGAGTTTTAGTTTTGTTCCTAAAAAATTGATTTTCTAGATTAAAAAATTAAAATGATTTTTTACTTTATACTTTTTGCCACATGTCATGTAAGTAATTGTCTAAATTTTCTCTTTTCACTCATAAAGCAATTTTAAACTAATTAAAAAATTAAAACTTTATTATGTCTTGTGTGAAAAATCTAGAAAATCAATATTTTAGGAATGGAGTAGTAGTTTTTTTTTTTTTTTTGAAGAAAAGGAATGGAGTAGTAGTTACCATTTATGATAGAGACAACGATATCACGAGGGCTCCAAGATTTTTGTTTTGTTTTTTTGTTCAAACGCGAATCTTATCTTGTTTTAGTATAGGAATCTTGTGGTGATGGCAACAAACAAGCCAACAAGGTACGTATCTCCAAAGTTGTTCAGTTAACTAAATAATGTTTGAATAAATAAAACATTGCATGTAAATTGAGATTCCTGATCGGGTTGTTCGAAGTTTGTAAAACGCCAAGTTTTGTTGCAACTTTCCAGCGTCTAAAAGTCTAATAATTTGTGATGTAAGACATAGAATTATTTCTATGAATGATTATTAATTATTTGCGTTACATATGTAGAAGAATAGCGGAGAAAGAGGGTCGTTGAGGCTCACACATGAATCATCCGTTGTCATCTCTGATTATTTTTCGAGTAGATAATGATTATAATTTAGAAAATAAAAAGGATCCTATCAAAAATCGGACAAGTGGTTAATAACATGACTACACTAACTAGTTATAAACAATTTTTTTAAAAAGCTAGTATGGTATATAGAACTTTAAACGCGGTTTATAACCATCGTATAATCTTTACACTAGTTGTATAAACTGTTTCATGATGATGTTTACACTACTAGAAAACATGGCATATTCCAACAAATGTTTCTAACAATCGGATTTTGTTGGAAATTTCCAATGAATATCCCATAAAATTACGTTTATTATTATATTTGTTAGAAATCTATTGTAAATTTCCAACAAATTTAAGTTGTGGCAAGTACATCACATAATTTATAGAAAAATTGTGGAAATTTTCCAACAAATACTAGATTGTTGGAAATTCAGTGCAAATTTGCAACAAATTATAATTGTGACAATTACATCGCATACTTTGTAGGAAAATCGTTGAAAATCTCCAACAAATATTATATCGTTGGAAATTCATTACAAATTTCCAACAAATTTTAGTTGTGGTAATTACGTTGTATAATTTGTATGAATATTATTGGAATTTTCCAACAAATATTATATATTGTTGGATAGAAGCAATAACTTTTAAGTTGTTGGAAATTACTAACAAAATATTTGTTGGAAAATATTTCTGATGATTTTGTGACAAATAATAATATTATCTTATCTTAATTTGAATTAGTTAAATCATTTGCTATTAAATAAAACTAATTTTCATCAATAAAATTTGTAATAATTAACACTAACTGGCTAAAATATTAATTAGCCAAACCAATATAATTAGTTGAGAACATAATAATAGCATGTCTAATAAGACATGCACTGATGCACGTAGACATCTCCCACCTCCCACATCCCACATCGAAAGAAAGGGATAAAGAAGCAATATATATTTGCTATATATATTAGTATTATGTCTTCATATTTTGTAAAATCATTTGTTATCCAATTATAGCAACAGTAATATTTGAAAAAATTCAGAAGTATCCAATAAGGATATTTCAGATTTTAATAAACCTTTAAATTACCAAATATAAATATTTTTATATTTGTCTAATTAATAAATGTAATCAAAATTAAAATTTATATAATAATTTATTTATAATATTTATATAAATCAAATATTTATTACAATATATTATTTTTAAATTATTTTTTAATAAAATTTATCAAGAAATTTCCCACATATATTATGAGTAATTTTTAACAAATTAACTATCTGATTTGTTGAATATTTGTCGCAAACTAGTGATAACATTCTAACAATATATTTGATGGAACAACAATTCGTTGGAAACTCTACGCTAA